CGTGTGAAGCTGGTTTCCTGTGTGCGACATAGCTCTGGGTGTGCCACGTTAAGGGCTCCGACCACGTGGCATGAGCGGCCCGTTCACAGAGATGCAGCTGTCGAAGGGGCCTGCCTTGGCCGCTGCACCCAGCTGACAGCGCTTGGACTAACACGACGCCTCCTGCTCGAGTCCGCGCCTGGCACTGCCTGCGGGCGGCAAGAGCTCCGGAGAGACCGCGGACTGCCGGCCCTGTGCCTTTCATTTTCACTCCATCCCAGACACAGGCGATGAGATTAATGACTAGGAAAACACTTATTTTCAATGCTTAGAGACAGTAAGAATTATAGTCAGAAGTGGAACTTTTTTTTAAGATTTATTATTTTATGTATACAGAACTGGGGTACAGGCCAGAAGTTGGGGGATGGTGATGAGAGGATTCCCCAGAGACAGAGCGGGGAGCAGAACAGGCAGATGGACGAAGGACTCTGCTGAGGGGAGCAGCGGGCGGGTCAGGAGAGGTCTGCCGCACCCTGGGGTCAGCTCCGGGGCCGGGATCGGAAGTGGCTCCGCCAGCTTGCAGTGCTGCGTCCTGACCCGTCGTGCCACCAGGCAGGGCCCACTTTTCCTTGAGGATTGAGTCAAGCACGGCCATGGGTGTTTCCGTTGTGGTGTCTGTAGCCCGAGAGTATGAGTCTGTAGCAAACAAGTTTTGAGCCTTGAATTCAGTTTCTTTAAAATCATTTTTTCTAGCATGATGGTTTCTGTAGTCTGTACTGGACCTTGAGAATCCAAGACTTCTCTCTCGTCACTCACAGGGCTGTGTGGTGACAGCTCGCTCTCGGAGAGCCCCAGCGGCAGGGCATGGAGAGCTGACAGCCCTCCGGCTCCGGGAGCAGCGCCCAGGCCTCCGTGGTGAGGTGGCGCAGCAGCCCGGCCCCGGCTCGGCGCGGTGTGGCGGGAGCCCACGGGTCAGTGGCACAAGCCCGCAGTCTCGGGCGCTGCTCCTGAGGGCCTCTCGTCCAGGCCTGCCAGAAAATAAGCAAACCCGGCCCTCCCTGGGGGCGCAGCGGGTCACAGCGCAGCACTGAGAAGCTAAAGCCACTTCCGCATGAGTTCGATCCCCGCCTGCCCCGGAGGTGACCACAGGGCGCAGCAGACCTCTCCTGACCGCCCGCTGCTCCCCTCAGCAGTGGACTTCGTCCATCTGCCTGTTCTGCTCCCCGCTGTGTGTGGTGAAGCCTCTCGCTGACCCTGCACCCCTGGCCTGTACCCCAGTTCTGTATACAGAAATAAATAAATCTTTTAAAAAAGAAGAAGAAAAGAAGCAAACCCAGCAAGTATTTGCCGAGTGGTAACGTCAGCAGCAAGAATGCGGGCATTTGCCTAGAAGTATCATTGTCAGCACCTGCGTCCGGTGTCTTGGCTCCAGGGAGCCGTTGCTGGGCGGCGACTTCCCCTCTGTCCAGGGTGGGTCAGGCTGGGTGACCCAAGCTGAGGCGCAGAGAAACCAGCGTGTTGATGTCAGGACGGGCCCCCAGCCGAGCCCCAGAGCTGGGGCCTGGAGCGTGGAGCGAGGGCAGGTCTGAGAGAGCCTGCAGGAAATGGGGGGCGGGGAGCACCCCTTGAGCCAGCCCTGGGGCTGGGGGCGCCGCGTCGCCCATCTTTCTGCGCCCAGGACGCCCAAAGAGCTCACACCAGGGACGGTGCAGACCAGGGCCCTGCGGCCTTCCCCGGGGGGACCCCACCCACTTTTCGGTGCCGACTGACAGCACTGCTCTGACGGACCCGAAAGGGCCCCCGCAGTGTGCGCCCAGTTCCACCGCGGCAGGCGCCCGGGAGGGTCTGGGCGCCTTGGAAGAGAGTTTGCTTCCGCGCGGCGGCCCTCAGGAAGGGAAGGAAATGGCGGCTGCAGGTCCCGCGGGGGAAGGAGCCCCAAGGCTGCGCCCCGCAGACTCTCAGCTCCAGGGCGGCTCACCTGAGTCCTCCTCCCTCCCTCAACAGCTGTTTCTCTGTCTGGGGCTGCGTGTCCAGTCCACGGAGATGTCAGACACGCTAGGTGGTCGCTACCAGCCCCCGAGGCCGGCCTCTGCGACAGCCCCTGCCCGGCAGGGCCCTGGGCTCCGCCCACAGGTACGCTAGAGGCCAGGGCCAGCGGCTAAGCCAGACCGGCCCCAACCCGCCTGCAGGGCGCGCGCCCGCCCAGCCTCCCGCCCCTGCACCGCCCCTGGGTGCGGGCCCCAGGTCCAGGTGGACGCAGACGGGGAGGAGCCGGGGCCCAGGGAGGCGGCGCCGGGTGGGGTCAGCCCAGTGGTCTGCGGCTGACGGTGGGCCCAGGTGCAGCGGGTCAGCAGCCAGAGGCCGTGGCAGGGGGTTCCTGAGCCGCCCCGAGATTCCCCTGTAAAATACTGAAGAAGAAAAGCTTGAGGACCACAGTGGCCGGAAGAGAAGGCAGGAAGTGGCCAGGGCCCTGCTGTCCAGTCACAGCCGCCCGCTGAGAAGGCGGCAGCCGCCGAGACTCCTGAGAGCCCGTCCCCTCCCGGCGGCCCTGGAAAGTGGTGCAGGCCGGGAGGGCGAGCTGGCCCTCCGGCCCCGAGGGCCGTGGAGACACTGCGCTGTGGGCCGCAGGCAGGTGGCGGGCTGGACACTTGCGGGGCCTCGGGGCCCAGCCGGGGGCCTGGCCAGACGTGGGCGCCGGGGCCTCGGCGACACCTGCCGCAGGCGGGCCGGGCCGCGGACGGCTCAGCGGACTGCAAACGGGCTGCTGGACCAGCCCTGGCTGCCCTGTGCCCAGTTCACCACATTCACCAGTGTCCATCTTGATGTTTGGGATTTTAAAATATTTTGGTAATATGGATGAATTTCTGCTCTTAGCTAAATAACAAGGCCAGGAGGCCCGATGACCTCCCGGCCGCCTCACACACACCTGGACACACTCACCTGACGCCCACTCACAGCTCACAGACCGAACAGCGTTTTGCCAAGGACCTGTCACACCTGCTCATTCCGCGAAGGAGTGTGGTCTCAAAATACATTTTATTTGACATGAAAAAAAATTATCATGAATAGCTCAGAAGCAAAATAGAGAAGCTTACTGGACCAAAAATTATCCCAGTGGGCCCTCCCTGGTGGCACAGCGGGTTAGGACGCAGCACTGCAAGCTGGCAGCAGCCGCTTCAGTGCAAGTTCGAT